TTCCAGGTACTTTTTGACCACTTTTGCGACGTGAGGCCGAGCATTGTCGTGTTGGAGGATGACTTTGTCATGTCTCTCTTGATATTGTGGCCGCTTTTCTTTTAACGCGCGACTAAGGCGCATCAGTTGCGTTCGGTAGCGATCTCCTGAAATGGTTTCACGCGGTTTTAAGAGCTCGTAGTAAATCACACCGAGCTGATCGCACCAAATACAAATCATAACCTTGGCGTCGAAATCACCATTTTTAAAACGTTGAAACCACACCCGACGCGTTCTGTTTCTGAGAGCATTCGATGCGCTTCTGCGGCATTTTTTTCGAATTGTAACAGAAAAGTAAAACTTTCAGCAAATGGCGAGAATTAGGCACATAAAGGGACATTTTCGAGCGTGAATAATACGAAAACAAGAACAACTGCCACTGAAACGGCGATGGCAATTCGTTAGGCATAGTCCACACTCACTTTAAAGGCATTATCATGTATGTATTTCAACCAGCCTCAGCCGGTACAGCCACCTATCGGAAAACGGCGGAAGCAAAGTTGTACACCTGATATTATACGTTAGGTTAGGTTGAACTGATCGATTCATTGATTTGGATTGATAATACGCTTTCGATGAAGAGTAGGGTTGACCCTCTTATTTCGGCCAACATAATCCGATATATCAACGTTTTTGAAACTGACAATATTTTTCTAAGTAAAAGCAAAAGCTTTTCGTTCATTACACTAAATAATTATTTACTTTAAAAGTGTAACCCAGTCAATTATTAAGTTGATATTTCTGGCGGTATACTTATATACGTATGAACTCTCCACGATCATAAATACGAAATTGCCAATTTTCAATGCAATTAATTGACCTTAGAATGTGTAATATAATATATTTCCATTGTACAAACAAATTAACAAAGAAATAGGTCCAAATTTTTGGTTTTCAATCAAAGGCAATGTGTGTTGTACGAGTTTGGATGCACGCAATTTGGCAGTGGCGGAACGCAAATATGATTTAGAAGGGGAATCAGTTAAAGACATATTTCCACAGAAATTTAATACTCTGTTTCTTTTTGTTAGGGTTTTAGCTATCGAACCTTCTTTGTGTTTGTTGACGGGCGTTGTTTGACACTTAGAGGCGGGTGCATATCTTCGCTGCAGCAAGATCCGAGTGATCCGAGTCGATGTTAGATCCAAGGAATGTACGCACATTTGTGTAGAAATATGGTGCTACAAAAAAAATTTTTTCGGACATCGGTGAAGTAAGATCTTTTATATACAAATGTTTTAATTGGTGAAAGCTGGTTTCGATTAAATTTCGATAAGAATTAGAGATGGCATCGATTTGGTCGTTTTTCGCATGGCAATTGAGAGCGAATTACCCACTTTTACTGTAATTCGCTCACGTAAATTTGTATGACGAAATAAATAATTCGACATGTATTTAGAGGTCGAATTAAGATTGAGAGAGCGAGACACGTAATTGGGTATTAAAGAAAAAAAATTAGATATTATTAACGAAACTGGCATTACAATTCAGTTCAAGATTTTGTTAACTTCTACTAAAAGCTTTCATTTTCCATGCATTTTTAAATGAAACAAACAAGCGAAACCGAAAACTGTCAAATTGTGTGCCGTGTGAATGGAGGTAATTCGCATTCGTAATTCAACGGAAGGACAATGTATTTCACGATGCCGTGGAAAACCATATAACACTTGCGCATTCGCTTTCACAACGTAGTTTTAAAATGTATATTTAACAATTTAATATTTTTCAGAAAAGTCGGTTAAAGTTTCAAAATCTGTACGAAAATTATTTAAAAATTTTTATATTTCGGTGGCGTTTTGGTTTGCCCACGAAAACAAAGTTAAAATTTAGCAAAGACATTTAAGGTATCAGTCAGAAATTTTTAGCCTAAACGATAAAATGTGAGATAAGTTATGTTAAAATTGCAAAGAAATAACCATTGAAGGCATGTGTTTTTTATAGTTTTATGCAAGATTTTCGACTTAATAAAGAAGCATTTTTATATGTATATTTTAAATAGTATTGAGCCGAAATTAAAAGCACCTCATCGTTGTGTCGCAATACCCCCAATTCTAAGACTGTAAGCTAGGAAAAGATTATCAATTCGGATTTGCACAGCAGACGGTGTCGAGACATTTATGGGAAGTTTGCCGTACAATAGAGGAATTTCTTTGTCCAAAACATTTTGTGTTTATAATTACAGCAAATGAAGGGCGAGATACAAAACGACATGAAATCCACAATTACTTCGAATAACCTTATTTTGGTATGTGCATTCTCTGATTTATTTTCCCAAAAAAAGTTAAAAAAAAAACAAAAGATTCCGTTATAAATTTGCATTTTCCAACCGTTCCAAATGCCACCTTCTTGTCGAATGATATTTACCATTTTCGAATAGAATTCACTATCGCATTCGCGTTAGGTAGTACCGTGAATTTGGCAGCATTCGAATTGAAATGCTTTATAGAATTACTTAGTAGTATTTGTTCGAATTCGAACATTTTTTCTTTCGAATCGCAATGCATAGTAGGGGCCCAGATCTACATAGACGCTGAATTTCCCGATAGCTACACAACATATTTTTTTTCCAACCATGACATTGAAATCGCAGAACACCATTTTGATAACGTAGCTGGGCCAGAGCTCTTAAGGGGGGAACCTGGTTTAGAGGGTCAAAAAATCGATTTTTTGAAACTTATCTCATTCGATTAGAAATATATTCAGAAATATTTCCACAAAATTTGAGAGTCAAATTCCTAATCGTTTCGCAGAAATGGCCTCTGGGAGACAATGCGCTCAGGAGATTGACAAGCGGGCGCGAGAACCTTGAAGGCGATTTTCTGATTTGTGCACACGATTAAAAAAGTTGTGATTGTCGCATTTTCATAAGTGATACCTTTTTTTTACAGCTAATAGTGTAAGCTCTATGTAAACCTAAAAAATGACAATAAATTTTATTAACTTTTTTCAATAAATTATCTTAAAATTTCAGAAAAACGCAAAATTTTTTATAAACAGTCATAAAATAAAAAATTTTATACATTTCTTCGAACATCTTAGGTATTCGTTTTTATGTTTCAGATGAAAACTACGATCGCTATGGTGTTCACAAAATAGACTCTTCGAGCGAGAAGTGCCACAAACAATTACGAATTGTTATTGCTTAACAGTATCAAATAAAGTGAAAGTCAATTTTTTTGCAAGATTTGTATATCTATGACCTATTTCAAAAGTACTTGAAACATTTCATACGTGAGGCAACCTAAATCACTGTGCCGAATATCATGCAATTTTCAGCGTTCTAAACCAGGTTTCCCCCTTAACAACTTGGATCCATATTGCGGAGTGTGGTTAGACGTCTTCCAACAAAAATCCAGCATAAAATTTGCACTCTTTTATGTGGCCGCTGAAGTAGATCTCTCAAGGGCCCATCTTCTTCCATCCCTGCAGTGTCCGTCGCATGTTTCTTAGTATTAAGTTACCGCAAATTTGTCTCATTAAGGAGTAAAAATAAGCCATTTTCGAAATCGGGATAGACTTCTCTCAACTTGGAGACTTGATGTATGGTAATAATATTATATAGAGCTTATGCAGAATTGGAATTGACTCTTCTAGAACCAGCCGAGCGAACGTATTAAAATATGAAATATGAACACAAAGTAAGACACGTTGAAAGATGATTTTGCTTGCCAGAAATGCCTCTTGAACGGAACAAAAAGAAGTCTTTTGTGCATCGGATTGTGACTGGCGATGACAAATGAAGCGCAAAAACTCTCACGGGAGGCAAATCTAAGACAAAACCGAGGCAATGCTAGGTATTTGGTGGGATCAGAAGCCCATGCTGTATATGAGCTTGTAAAACCGGCTGAAACCACCAATGGGAAAGCCGCCGACAAACAACTCATCAAATTGAAGCAAGTGAATGCCGGACAAAGCAATAATTGTACTTTATGACAACGCTTAACCTTATGTTGCTATTTGGAAAACAATAACTGTGAAAATATGCCTCAACAGTCTTTCAGCCTAGATCTAGCTCCTTTTGATTACCATTTGTTCCGGTCGATGGAGCGCGATCTGCCTACCAGTTTGTTTTCAGTAGCTATTGAGATCAGCCAGCCTCAGTTATCTCTGCGCATTTTCCTTTACGGCCTCAATCGAGTCGAAACGTATTAAATGAAGTGGTAACTTTAGTTTTGGTAACAAAAAAAGTCGCTTGGGGCTACATGCGGTGAATACGCTGGTTGATCAATGGTATTGTACGAGTTTTTGGTCCTGAAATCGTTGACAACCACAGCTCGGTGCGAGGACGCATTCATTGTCGTGAAAGCTTCCCACAATTCCAGCCGTTTACGGCGAATGTTTTCGCGCAGACGCCTCAAAACGCTCAAATTATACTCTTTATTGACCGTCTGTCTCGAATTTATGATGAACCGAATCGCGAATATCGAAAAAAATACAATTTCCGGAATTTTGCGGTTGGTAGTCGCTGAAATTCAGGAGCTCTTCCTCTCCTTTGTAGTTTGTAGTCTCATTTATTTCATGTCAGTAATACACAATTCGAAGAAATAACTTAATTTGTTGTTTAAATAAATTTTCTATAATATTTGTATAATGATCGAATCAGAATTCGAACACTCGCTTTCTAAATAACGGTACGCGGCTATCGCAACCGAAAACTAATGGACCTTGTGTATTAGGCTCATCGTATGTATTCCGCATATGTAACCTTATTAAGCACATACGTGTATGTAAATATTTATATGTAAAGTATGTCAAAATAATATGTCATCACCTCTTTGTTGTTAATTATTGATTAGTGGTTTATTGCGAGTGAGCAATCGCATTGTCATTATAAAAATATATATGTATGTATAATTGCTCAAAATGTTGTAATTGCATATTTACACCTTTTCTACATACCAATATATACATACTTAAGTACAATTGCAACAATTATTGTAATTTTCATTTTTTTTTTACAGAGTTCGAGATCAGCGCGTCTATCGACTGGGCTTGCGTTGTACAGCCGTCTGGCTGGTGGCGGTGTTCTGTTGGATCAACGACCGCATGTTCTGCGATGCTTGGTCAGCTATTAATTTTCCATATCTACATGGTTTTTGGCATGTCTTCATATTCATCGCTGCATATACGGTTTTAGTTTTGTACGCATATTTCTATGTCGAAACGGAGCTGCCACAACGGCAGCCGCTGCTAAAATATTGGCCTAAAAATGACTTTGAGTTCGGTATACCGTTCATATGCATACGAAATCCCGGCATGACCATCAAGAGTGCAATCTAAAATCACACACGCACACACACACACATACACACACACACACGCAGACGACATGCAGCGTTTTTTTGTTCGGTTACAGAGGAGAGTGGTTGAGTAAAAGCTTCTAAAAAAAATACAAAATAATACACATACATATGTCATTTTACAAAAAGTCTTTATTATTAGTACTAAATATAATAGAATGCATAAAACCGACACATACATATATTATATATATGTATGGCTAAATAGTTCATAAGTATTACCTGTTATGTCAACAGAAATGAAAAATGTGGATTTAGATTCAATATAGTGATTTAGAATATTTACATACACATAAATTCGTATATACATAGATACACTCGTTAGTAGTATATGTACATATGACGTGAAATAAGTGTTTGACGACAAATTAATTATATTTGTCGTAATATTTTGAAATTGTATGTATGCATTTACATACATACATACGTGTGGTATGTACTATATATGATATATAGTATAGTGGCTGAAATAGTTTGCGCTCAAATTGTTGAGAAAGTAGCGACTAATGAAATGTCCTTAGGTGAAAAGTTACAAATTATGTAGTTATATTTGGAGTATGAAAAATCAATTGATGATTTTTGTGACCAAACGTGATCTTTACTCAGTTAATTTCTTTATTTATTTATAATAAGTTCCTTTTATAACATTTTTGTTTATTATTTATTTTCTATTTACTGCTGGTAGTATACAAGGCTACCACAATCATTGACGTCATCGCACCAATTTCGTCATATTTACGGCTGACGAGACTTGATATTTACATTATCAAAAAAAAAAAAAATATTTTTTGGCTAAAAAATATTTATGTGAACCTAACAGTATAAATATGAGAAAAATTTCGTTATACTGAAGAAAGCACAAATTGCCCAATATTATTTTTATAATATTTCCATTCTTATATAACAGTGCCTCAGAAATAAATTCGGAAAAATAATTTCAAAATAGTTAATGTCTGCAATTTCTTATTACTACCATTACCATTGTAGTTATAACTTTTATTTCAAATCAAAAATTATGTTTGCAATTTACAGGAATTTAGGTAAAAACACTTCAACTGAGATCTAAGTGAATTTATATCACAGAAGTTTTCGTAAAATATTGTCCTCCCACTGCAGATTTCAGGCTCGCTTCGTGATTTTAAAAGGCGACTTCTGAAAATCACTGAATTACACAAAGACAATTTACGTTAGCCGATTTATGTAAAAACAATTTATAGCGGTAAATTCATGAAAAATTTTAAATTGACCGTTGACATCAAATATTAGAGTTGCTAGGTAGGTACACGTATGTGTGTATAAATTTTTCTACGAAATTATAAATAAATTTAAGAAATTAATACTTTGAGAGCTTAAAAGCCACTAATTAGATATTAAACTTTCTGAAAAAATCTGAAAAATATAACCTTTCTAATTTAAATGAAAGAGCTATGATGAGTAATGAATTTTTTAAGCAATATTTAAGGCTTGTGTCAGTTATAATTACACAAAGGTATTTTAAATAATTTAGTAATCCCCAAATTTGAACCAACTTCGTCACCGAACATATCATTTTGCTGTCGACGTAACCTTTTATTCTATAAACCTTGGTTTTATATGACATCAAAGTAAAGAGTTGCTAGCTACAACAAATTTAAAAATAAAATATTATTAATTAAAATACGTTGTCATAACTTTTTATACTATAAACCTTGGCTTTTTGATATATATATATATATATATATTTTTTTTTGTAGTTTTTTCATTTTTTAATCAGCTTTGACATTAAAGCAATTAATTTGTTTGCGATTTAAAAAAATATAACTAAAAATGCTTTAATTAATCAGTTCCTTCGATTCAATATTTAAAAACATATCTATTCATCCTAAAATATATAATATGTAACTACAACCATAATGAGGTGTGTTCAAAAAATATCGCGAATTTTGTGTTTTTTTCAAAAATTATTTATTTATTCATGAATATCTATTTTGTCCTCTTCAAAGTAATCCCCATGAGATATTATACACTTTTGCCAACGGTTTTTCCAATCTTCGAAGCACTTCAAAAAATCATTTTTTTTATCTTGTTCAGCTCCACCTTCGATGCCGTCTTTATCTCTTCAAACGTAGCGTAACATCGTCCTTTCATGGGCCTCTTCAGTTTAGGGAACAAGAAAAAGTCACAGTTGGCCAGATCTGAAAAATACGGTGGCTGCGGCATCATTAGCGTGTTGTTTTTGGCCAAAAAGTCGGGCACAAGCAACGATGTGTGAGCAGGGGCGTTATCGTGGTGCAAAAATCAATTTTCGTTCTTCCACAAATTCGGGCGTTTCTGGCGGATTGCTTCGCGCAAATTGCGCATAACTTGCAGGTAATATTCCTTAATGACCGTTCTACCCTGTGGCTATACCCTTTTCTCCACTTCATTAATTTTTTCTTGTGTTTTTGAAGTGCTCGGGCGTCCGGCACGCTCTTCGTCGTTCACATCCTCTCGGCCATCTGAGAACATTTTGTACCACCAATAAACGTTGCTTCAGTCCAAGGTAGCTTCTCCGTATGCCACAGTCAACATTCGGAATGCATCGGTGCACTTAATTTCGTTTTTCACACAAAATTTGATACAGGTTCTTTGATCCATTTTTATGAATAGGTAAAAATCGAAGACCATCCAAAACACGTGCAAGCAAAGCAGCTGTCAACAATTAAGTGAACATTCAAAATGGCAAAAAAAAAAATCGAAATTCGATTATACGTAACCCGCGAAAATTCAAAATTCGCCATACTTTTTGAACACACCTCGTACATGTATAAATATATGTACATATACGTACTTTTATTTAATTGTATACCTTTCAAATAAGATTTTTAAAATTTTATACCAAAGTGAAGTGCTCAATTTTTTTTTTTTTGATATTAAAAATGTGGCAGAAAGTCTTTTTAATATTTCATGATGTTTCTAACTAAGATCATCACTATTTCGATAACTCCACTAAGCAGCTGTTCCATTAAAATTTATTAGCATTTTAAATTTATAGATGCAAAAAAATCAAATTTTTTAATACTGACTTTTGTTGTTTTAAGTAACACCTAATTACACTGGTCAGCTAAATTTAAATATTTTTTTGACGCAAAAAAAAATTCTAGTAAAGTTTGTATTAAGGCCACCAAACAATAATATTATTATTTGCTGATTTATGGTTTGCGAGAAATTTTTGAAAAAACATTCACAAAAAAATTTCTGGTAATACAGTTTTCTTTCAAAGGCCTAATCCTTTATCAGTCGCTATAGTTGTAGACCTACAGATATTTCCTCTTTAAGTTGGCGGTTCATAACTTGGCTGAGATACTCTGTCGTATTGACCACACTAGAATTCGGCCTTTTTAATCGATTTGGTTTTAGCTTAGCCCAACCTAGCAGAAGTCTCTCACACGTTACACATGATTTTAGTGGAGCTCTTGATTCAATATGCGTTACAAAACGATTATATATTTTTAATGAAGGGCACGCACTGACCTTAAACCAAAAATCATCAAAAAGTTCGTGTGGCAAAACCAGTGCTGACCTGTGTTATTTATCACAAAGCAAAAATTTTGTTTCGTCTTCTATACAACTGATTCTATATGCTATAGTTACAAAAGTTGCTCACATTTAGCGATGAATATTTTTTTTACAATCGATTAACGTATACCAAAGATAAATTGTGATTTCACTAATAAATCATATTAACCAAAAATGTAAATAAATTAAGAAAGTTATTTTATTTAGAAAAATATATTTTATGTTTATTGTTCGTTTTTAGAATATTTCTTTGCATTTTGGCATTCTGCTTAAATAATTTAGTATAGAAACTTTATATTTTATTTATTTTGAGCAATGAAATGGTAAACTTTCTTTGGTGCGAAGTATGCAGGTACCAGAAAGTGTAGAGATATACCCAAAAAACTTAAGCCGATCTGATCAACATGACGAGGAGCTTAGTTGATTTAGCCATGGCAGTCTGTCCATACATCTGTTTTTCCGCAAACAAGTCTCTAAGTTTTTAAGATATTTGAACGAGACTTGGTGTGCCGGTGGACTTTGGTAATTTATTGATCATTTGTCGGTACCGGCCAAATCTGTCGTCTATATCATATACAACTGATTTGTTTAGATATATGATTTTACCTCATAAATACTTCAATGAAGCATCTAATAGCATGAAATTTAGTACTCTACACACGTACATGCAAATAACTAATGGCACGAAATCGTACAACTATATCATATAGCCCCCATACAGCCGATTTGGACAGATGTGATATATAACATACAAGTATATGTATATAATTGGTGCAGCAGTTACAAAGTGCTTCGGCGGACTTATGTAAAATGAGAATTGGATGGAAGTCATGACAGAAATATGCTTAGGATTCAGCCGCTCGCTCAATTAATTCTCAAATAGATATTTTCACTTTTGTTAGTATTTAAAGAAGGGTTAAAGAACAACAAAATTAAAAAAAAAAATTTTAAATTAAATTGTATAGTTTCAAAATTTTTTTTTTTAATGCAGTATCTTGTTGTTGGCACAGGTGCAACGATAACTTAGCTTATTAAAGTGCACATAAATTTTTTCGGCCGTATCCAATTCAAATATATTAAAAAATAATAATTGTAAATTATACCTTGAGATGGAGGAATTAATAAAGGGTGTTTTTTAAACATGAAGTTTTCAAGAGGAAATAAAAAAACATATAATTTATTGTTATGGCCAAGAATTGAGATTTATTTAAAAAAAAAAAAAGATTTGCCAATGTATTTTTAAAATGATTTCGACAAATGAAATTCCAGAAATACCAGCAGTTAGGGCCGTATGCTATCAGTAACACGCTGAATATTCTCTTTCAAGGCGTCAATTATCTTGAGCTTATTGCCGCAGATAAGCGACAAATGCACAAAAAATATTCCAGCGGTGTTAAATCACACGACGCTGAACACTAAAAGTTTTCTTCTATAAATTGATTTTTTGGTTGGCTGTATGGTCAACGGCCAAAAGTCATTAGCTATGGCTCTGCAGCGTTCGTCATAGACTTCATTTTTATGAAATAATGCCTTCTGCTTATAGAGCACACCGTGAACACAGTGACTTTTTGAGGATGCGGCCGCGTCTCAATTATTACTACTCCATATGCAACAAGTTTGTTTATTTGTCTATTTACGTACCCATCCAACCAAGAGTGAGAATACACTGCTCAACATTATTTTCTAGTGAAAATCGGTATCTGCGGCCATCAAGTGCCCGATCGATGGTCGTGTTGCTTCAATTTTTGCACTAATTGGATTTTGTGCGCCCACAAAAGCAAGATCCTTCCGCAAAATCTTCTATAAAATGGAGTTGCGCGCATGATGTCGGATGGAGTCATTCGGGTGTTCTTCGATACTCTGTTCGACGGCAACAGCAGCAGCTTTGGTGCGTACTGTTCACGTCGTTTCTGAGGATACGCATTATACGCCAGAGTAAACGTGCTGAAAAGCTGTTCCATGGTTGTTCAAACTACAGACTCTGCTGGGCTATTATGTCAATCGAATATTGAAGGCATAATAACTATTATTTTGGTAATAAATTTGAACGATTAGCAAACGTACTATGTTCCGGAGTAAGTCTGTTCATTATGAATGGATTAGCCAAACTAAGTATGATGTCAAGTAGCAGCTGTGAAAAACACGTTTAAAAACACCCTTCAGGCCTATTCTGTCGTGGTAACAAAATTTACTTTGGTATTAAAATTTACCATTCAGTAAATTTTGTTACCATTTCGTATTCTGA